TTAACGAGTAAAGACGTCAACCAGTTAACGAGTAAACACGTCAACCACTTTCACCAGTAAACACGTCAACCAGTTAACAAGTAAACACATCAACCAGTTAACCAGTAAAACACGTTAACCAGTAAAACATATCAACCAGTTAACTAGTAAACACTAGATTGACAGACGGGTGATGTCACAGCTACCTGTGTAAAGGTGAACCTCTGTGCTGTTTGTGGGAGGGACTTGTCACTCTGCCGGTTTGATTGACAGGTCCTGGGAGCCGTGAGGACCACCGTGTCTGGTCCCTCAATGTTCACACAGTCCTGAAGAGCAGAAGACGTGATATTAATCAATAAAAATCATTACTATCATCAGTTATTATCAATCATATCATCTCTTCTAATAAACATCTGAGGATTTCTTCATTAGAGCTGAAGCTAAAAATGTTAGTCTTATTACATTTTCTCGATGAATCGTTCTGTCAATAAGATGCCGTCGTGACTTCAACGTGACTTCTTGTTCTGTCCAATTAAAGGGCCGGTACATTGACTAATGAAGAGTTGATGTACCGTGAATAGAAAAATAGACGTGTGTGTGTGTCTCTGTGTGTGTGGGTGTGTCTCACCTGTGTCTCTCTCTTGTCTCTCTCTGCTGCAGTAAATGGTCTCACTCTCAGATAAACCTGAAGGTTTTCTGACTGAACGATGTCCTGATGAGACAAAACAACACCACCTGTCACCATGACGATGTCAACATCCCGCTGACACCAGCACAGACAGACAGAGAGAGAGAGAGAGAGATAGACAGACAGACACATACAGACAGATAGGCAGGAAGGGAAAGACAGACAGACGGGCAGAGAGACAGACAGACAGACGGGTAGAGAGACAGACATACCTGTGCAGGTAAAGCAGTGAATTCACCGAGTAGATCTCTCTTGATGTCGTCCACCAGCACCGGACCGACTCTCTCTGGCTTCTCACCAAAACAAGACTCCATCATCTCTACAGACATGTAAACAAGTAAACAAGACTCCATCATCTCTACAGACATGTAAACAAGACTCCATCATCTCTACAGACATGTAAACAAGACTCCATCATCTCTACAGACATGTAAACAAGACTCCATCATCTCTACAGACATGTAAACAAGTAAACACGCAAACAACAGAGAGATCTTCTTCAAACGAGCATGATAAGATTATATCTAAACAGATTTTACGAGTAGAAAAAATAACCTTTAATCCCAATCTGTCTTGAGAAAGAGAGAGAGACAGACAGAGAGACTCTGCCTCGTGCGGAAATGATCAGACAAAGAAAGAGATCCTAAATATTTAAAGAGTTCTGCGTGACTTCTAACAATGAAGGATTAAAAGTGCACGTCGGAGCTATTTAGCTGTAACACTTTAGTAACGTCATTAACTAAACAGCAGCTAGCTACTGCTACTTTGTTGTTAGCATTAGCCACAACGAGCTAACTCACGTACATGCGTCTATTTGTTGGGTTTAACGTCCTTCAAGGACAAAACATCTCATTAATTCAAATCTGCGCAGATTAACCTCTTCATCACAGTGTTACTCACTCTGGATGTGTTTTATTCACCAGAAACAGAGAAACATTCAGTTAACGTTGAGCTAACGTTAGCTTCGGCAACTTCTCCTCTCTACGCGGTCTAGTTTTTAAACAGAGACCAGAGGACCAATCAGGAGGCTGGCATAAGGAGACGTCACGCAGGTATCGGATAAGATATCGCGAGACAATGTTGAGTCAATGAAAAAACTCAACAGAATGTATGTTCGGGTTTTTATTTTATTAATATGCAAATTCAAATGAATAAATCTGTAACAGAGTATTTTAACAGTGTATTATTAATACTTTGACTGTAACTGAGTATTTTTAAATGTGGTAATAGTGCTTTTACTGTAACAGAGTATTATACCAGTGTAATATTAGTACATTTACTAAGTACTGCTGAGTATCTGTATACTGTGGTACTGGTACTGTACTGTAAAGGAGTATTTTTAAATTGTGGTGTTAGTACTTTTACAGAAACAGAGTTTTATTTTATTTTATTTGAATGCTGCTGGTGGCGGTAATGCATCATAACGTTGTTCACGTGGTTACTTGCGAACCGCCATGCAAACACCAAAGAAGAAGAAGAAGAAGAAGAAGAAGAAGAAAAAATAAACACCGTCGGTTGAGATTGACGTCATCAGCCGGTGACAGAGCTGAGGACTGAAGCAGAGGATTTGAAGCGGATTTGTTGGATTAGCAGCTAGCTGTTAGCTGCTACTACTTACACTTCATGTGAAACAGTTTATATCGTTTATGTGGAAGACACGTCACACTGCTCGAGATCAAACAACCAATAAAAACGTCAGGATTCGCCGAGAGGACACGCAGCACACCGGTTTCCTTGACAACGGCGAGCGAGCGTCGTTACCGTCATTGATCAGCTGCTGATGACAGAGTACCAATACTCTTCAGAGTAATACTTCTACTACACTACCGTCATCCGTAACCAAGTACTGTACTCAAGTACAGACTCGAGGTACTTGTACTTTAATTGAGTACCTTTTATTCTCCCTCTCTAATTCTCAGAGGTAAATATATTGTACTTTCTACAGTGATATGAATCAGATACATCAGATATAATAGTTTTACTAATCAATCAATACTTTTACACTGTAGTAGTAGTATTTAAGTACACCATCTGAGTACTTGTTCCCCCAGACAGACAGACAGACAGACAGACAGAGCAGTGAATGAACCGTCTGACTCTCCTGAACCAGGTCTCCCCTGTACCAGGACTCTCCTGAACCAGGTCTCTCCTGAACCAGGTCTCTCCTGTACCAGGACTCTCCTGCTGCCGTCATGTCATCGGTGGACTCGGGCGGTGACGGTGGGAGGTGGCTGGACGCTCACTACGACCCGGTAGCCGGTCTGTACACCTTCTCGTCCTGCGTGGACGTGGCGGACCTGAGTGGTGACGGTGAGAGCCGGCTGGTGGTGGGGGACCTGGGCTCCGGCTCGTCGGGCATGAAGCTCAAGGTGTACCGCGGCACAGCGCTGATGAGCGAGAGCACCCTGCTGGACCTGCCCGCCGGCCTCGTCGCCTTCTTCATGGACCTGCACGAACCACGCATACCCGCGGTTGCTGTGGCGTCCGGACCCTGCATCTACGTCTACAAGAACCTGAGACCATACTTCAAGTTCACACTGCCGGGCCTGGAGGTCAACTCACTGGAGCAGGTCTGGTCCATTCAGGGGTATCTACTATGAGAGAGACAGACAGAGAGAGAGAGAGAGAGAGAGGTCTGGTCCATTCAGTTGTATCTACTATGAGTCAGTCAGACAGACAGACAGAGAGAGACAGACAGGTGTGGTCCATTCAGTTGTATCTACTATGAGTCACAGAACCCTGGGTTATAACACAGGTCACTGTTTTAGTTACTCTTTAATTGTGACGTGTGCTGCGCTGTGATTGGTCAGGACGTGTGGCAGCAGGCAAGGGAGGGCGGGATCGACCCCGTGACGTTGAGGGAGATGTTGGAGAGCATCAGGAAGAAGGCCAACGTCCCGCTGTCTGTCCGCTCGCTCCGGTTCCTGTCCCTGGAGACCGGAGACATGGACGAGTTCGTCCAGCTGCACAAGCAGCAGCCAATCAGACGGCAGGTAACTCCGACACCATTCATAATATAACCCGCCCCTCCCTCCCTCGCTCCGATTGGTCGATCGCTGCCTGTGTTTCAGACCGTCATCACCTGCATCGGGACCCTGAAGAAGAGCACTGCGGACGAGGACGGCGTCAGCTGTCTGGTGATTGGTACGGAGAGCAGCGACGTCTTCGTCCTCGACCCCGAGGCCTTCATCATCCTCTCCAAGGTAAACTCCCATCACACACTGGTTTGAACTGGGAGGACAGTAGTTATTGTTTGTGCAGCTCATCTCATGGCTTTGCCGAGGAAAGCCATGAGATGTGGCTGAAAGCTCCAGGAACAAAGTAAGATACCTGTCTGTATGACTGTTGAAGATGTCACTGCCGGCCGCTCCCACCATGATGGACGTGACGGGGCAGTTCGACGTGGAGTTTCGCATCACGGTGGCGTGTCGCAACGGAAACATCTACATTCTGCGCAGGTAAGACTCACCCGTATGAGAGAACTCACCCGTCTAAAGAGAACTCACCCGTCAAAAGAGAACTCACCCGGCTGATGTTTGTGCTGCTGCTCTTCAGGGACTCTGATAAACCGAAGTACAGCATCGAGCTGTCGTGTCACCCGGTGGGTCTGGTGAGGGTCGGGAAGAACGTGGTGGTCGGCTGCACCGACGAGAGCCTGCAGGGCTTCACACAGAAGGTCAGCTGAAGCTCGTCTGAGGGTTCTAAGGTAAAGAACCTGAATACGTTCTGCAGGTAAACGTGGTAAGTCTGTCTCTCGTCCTCAGGGTAAGAAGCTGTGGAGGGCCGTCCTCCCGGCTCCCATCACCACCATGGCTGCCATGGACCTCCTCACCAGGGGCTTCCAGGCGGTTCTGGTGGGCTTGGCCAACTGTGAGGTCCACCTCTACCGGGACAAGAACCTGCTGAGCACCATCAAGACGCCCGACGTGGTCACCAGCATCTGCTTCGGCCGGTATGGACGCGAGGACGGGACCCTCATCGTGACCACCAAGGGCGGGGGTCTGATGGTGAAGATCCTGAAGAGGACCGCGGCCTTTGACGACCGGGACGGAACTGCTGGGCCGCCGCCGGCCCAGAGCGTCCGCCTCAACGTGCCCAAGAAGACCAAGCTGTACGTGGACCAGACGCTGAGGGAGCGTGAGAGCGGCCTGGCGATGCACCGCGCCTTCCAGATGGACCTGAGCCGCCTGCGCCTGTCCGCTGCCAAGTCCTACGTCAAGGCCCTGGAGTCCAGCCTGACGCCAATGTCCTCCAGCCTCACAGAGCCGCTCAAGATGAACGCCGTGGTTCAGGGTCTGGGCCCGGCCTTCAAATTGACCCTGAACGTCCAGAACACGGCGGCGTGTCGGCCCGTCATGAACCTGGCCGTCAGCTTCCTGTACGACGAGAGCCTGTACCGGATGAGGAACCCGTACATGAGGATCCCTCTGCTGGTGCCCGGACTCGTCTACCCAGTCGAGACCTTCGTGGAGTGCACCAGCGACAAGGGCATCTCTGACATCATCAAGGTGTTCGTCCTGCATGAGGGGCGGAGCTCCCCACTGCTGACCGCACACATCAACATGCCCATCAGCGAAGGACTGACACTCAACTGACAACGCTTCCACTTCATTCAGTAATGACTCCAAACATCATGGGACTGATCTGACAGC